GGGAAAAATCAGTCCCTCAATGTCCCTCCTTTGGCTAACTGCATGGCCTAATGGAGGCCATGTCTGAATTTTTTGACTCCTTTCCTAAAATAGGGAAAACAGTGTTGTTTAACAACAAATAAACATATTTTTATCTAAAAATTTATAAATAAATTAATTTAAATAAATTATTTTCGAAAACACATTTCACTAAAATTAGTACAATATATTAATAATTATTTGTGGATGAAGGTAGGTTAAGGGAGGTCCCTTAAATAGAAATTTTAATATTATAATAGCCTTCAAACCCTTTATTGTCAAAATAGATGTCTAAAGTGCCACATTACATTACCTTAGCTTAAATTAATATATAAAATTTAAAATTTGAAATATATTTATATTTTAAATAGTTTGTGATAAGGATGGTCACCTATTTTATGTATTGATGCCGAATACCTTCAATATCAGTAATTAAGTCAACGCTTTAAAAATGTGTTTTGATCTCTACGAAGCAAAAACAACTCCAAGCTTATCAAGAAAATTTATGATCATCGGAGAGTAAAATATTAACAATACCAGATGTAAAAATTAATTATCTCAAATAGAAAAATAGTTGAAATTAATGCAAAAGTGTTTTAATAAAATTTTTATTAAAAAATAAATAAGGTTTTATAAAAAAACACTTCGAAAAATAAAATGTTTCCAATAACTTTACATCTTATATAGAGTATCTTAATTGCTTGCCTGCCAAAAATATGTATTAACACCTCCAGAGGACTTAACAGATTTCACATCAGCAATTTGCGGTTAAGAACTATTTTTATGAATTATAAATAAATAATAATTGAATTAATATATTAATATTAAATTTTATTTTTTATTATAAAATAATTAGTAATTTTATAATTATTATAAAATTACTAACAAACTATTACAGAATCACAATGTAAAATTAATTATCTATAAAGTCGAGAAAAAATTAATTACAAAAAAAATTGTCATAATAAAATTATGATTAATAAATGGGTTACATGAATTAGGTAATATTTATAGTCACGACTATATAATCAACTGGTTATTGTTATAAAAGGAAATATATTTTAATATTTAAAAAGCAAATCAGTATACAAACTTATTAAAATAATCAGTCAACACTTGAGTTGATTCGTTTTTTTTTTAATTATCTAATATATATACAATAATCTTTGTGACTGCATTTAAAATATGAAACAGAAGTAATTTAAACGCAAATTGTTTGTATTATTAAAAAATAATAACAGATGTGTATATTTATTTATTTATGTATTTATTTAATTGGTTGAGTCAAGCAAGAATTATTTAGTTAATGGAAATTGTTGTTGAGATGTACTCGGAAGTGACATTTTATCAAGTATTACTCACTCACATTAGTCAAAGTCTACATTACCAGAGTAAAGTCTCAATAATATCTTGCAATTTTCTTAATTTTAGTATATTCTAACTAAAGCAATGCCTGAAAATATTGTAAGCTTTTAGTTAATAAAAGTGCATACGACGGTGATAAACAAGAACACAAAAAATATTAATTTAAAAAATATTCCTTAAAAGTTGTAAAAATGGTAAAAGTAATGCGAATATATTATTTAAAAATATATTTAGTAAAAATTTAATTTGTAGCTAAAAATATTCTTTAAATTAACCATTATTATCGTCGTGTTACAAATAAATTCAGCACAGGACTTTGAACCAGACTGGTTATCACCTTTTCCAGGAAGGACAACGAAGAAGCCAATAATAACAACCACAAGTGCACCAACCACAAAAACTACTTATTATGATCCGAAACCAACTACACAGCCAACATGGAGAACTTCTACTTATATTCCATACTGGAGAGAACCTATGACTAAGAAAACCACTCCAAAGCCAAGATGGGGAAGTGATCCACAGTGGAACATTTTTAACTTTAACTGCGATTGCAACTCACAAAGTGGGTACAGTTTAATGAGATGGATTTGTAGTGGTATGTATTGACATAAAATATTAAAGAAATTTTTATGTGTGATTATAGTTTTTATGAATTCTGAAGACTGCTATTAACATGTGTTAAAGGTTAGGAAAGATAAGGATCAATACCCTTTTATAGTGATATAAATAACTTATACTTTAGAAGCAAAAAATATTAGTTTCGGCACGAATATTATGGCGTTTTTCTTTCTTTTCGTATTATAGTTTTTCTTTCCATTTTTTGCTTTTTTGACTGTCAAATTAATTACTTATAAGTGAATATTCTATAGAGTTACGGCAAAGTAAAGATAAATTACGTTTAGGGAAAAATTTGTTATATTTTACAAATCCATTGCGGTAGTGATAACACAAAAATCCATTATTTTTGCTGAAGTTTCCTTTGGTGCACAAGGCTGTCACATCAACCCAATCTAACCCAGTATATAATTCTACTATAAAATGTAGAGAGTATGTAGTACAAGCAAGTAAAGAGATTTATAATATTTGAAGTGATGATATTCCACCACAATCAATTAGCTAAGAATTTGTTATGATCGCTGATATACTATTTTGCTGGTACATCTGAAAAAAGTGTACATCTGAAAAAGTACGTTAAAATGTTTACAGCTGTATCAGTTTTTCCAGTGTTAAACCCCGGATTTAATAAACTGATACAAAAAAAAAAATTACATGAGGTTAAATTGGGGTCATACTGAAAGTAAAAAAAGTTATAATAATAAGAAAATATTTTTAATTTCTGTGAAAATCCCCAAATACTTTTCGTAATCTATCAATAAATAATAAATAGGTGAGATACGGTATAAGAACGAAAAGTTTCCATGCATCTTTATAAACTTTTATATTATATATATTGTTTGTATAGAATTAATTTGTATTCTGTTTTCTTATCGCTCCTATGTGAAATAGTGATCATACGAGGGCGGTTTGATAAGTCAGTGACTTTTTGAATGAAACAAATTTTTTTCGGCAAATAAATATTTTATTTTTCTACATCATCACTTTTTAACTCGATACATTTAGTTTAGGATTTTTCTAATTTTCTTATTCTCTCCAAATAATAGGTTTTCTCAAAGATCTCAAAATACGCGTTTGTTTCAGTAATGACTTCTTCATTAGACTCAAATCTCTTAAAGCTTAGCCATTTCTTTAGGTCTAGAAACAGAAAATAGTCGTAGGGAGCTAAATCTGGAGAATATGCTGGATAGGGTAGCAGTTCGTATCCCAATTCGTGGATTTTGGCCAGTAATGCTTAATCAGCACACGAAATTAACTTTTTTCCATTTTCGTTAAAATTCACGAGAAAGTCTGCTTTCTGTGCATTATATAATTATTTATTAAAATAAATTTATAGACAAAAATGAATTAAAATTAGTCTGTAATATCAATAATGATATCAGTATGTTATTATATAAAATGACGTAATCAGTTCATCACGGTTCAGATAGATTTTGTTATTATAAACTGAAGCATTGGCATTGACAGGGTTTCGCTAAGGAACATATAAAATGTACTTATAAAAAATTTTTTTTGAAAAGTGTTAGTCAAAAGGCAGACGGGGAAAGAGTACAGTTCAAAAAAACTTGGAAAATTTGGAAATTCACAGTGTATCTTTAAATTTCTACGTTATAATGCTTTAAAATATTTGAAAGAATTTGTTTTTGGTTTAAAAATCAATCTTTACCCCTTATAGTACTCCCCTTAAATACTAATTTCTCACCAAATATTAAATTCTGTCCTGCAAATTATTCAATGCAAGGTGCACGAAATACAAGAATGGTATACTAAAATTGCAAGAGTGCGAGTATTGCAGAATTGCAACATCAAAATGAGACAGCTGTTATTGCAGCAGATCACATCCATATGAGAAGCAACAAATGTTAAAACAGCTGTTTTTTTCCTTTTTTATTTCGTAGCAAGCATATATGCATGGGTTTATATATGGCAAGATTGCAAGCAGCTGCAAGAAACTTTGAAACTTATGAGTTTGCAAGACAGAGGGAATACCTTTAATATATCTTGGCTTACTACTGGCTACACAAATGCAAGCTGACATTTTACACACTCCAGAAAAGAGAGTTCGCAGCAGATAGCTACATCGCACTTTTTCTCCATCAGTTCACCATTAATAAAAAAACTACAATATCAGGTTTTTGCTAACTGTAGCTTGCTACTGTACCATATGCTAATTTCAAAAGCTTTCTTGCAATAAGTTTAACATTTTGCACTTTTTCTTAAGAGAGTAAAACAAGAGCAGAAAATTTGCTCTAAAGTTTTCTATTTTGCCTATTTTTTGTAAATGACTACAGCATAAACTAATAAAATAGCCTGAGTATTTGCAGGCTATCGTAATACCACGATTACTCAGTCAAATGAATTTGGTAGTGTTCGAGTTAAATGATTCATGTATTATTATTACCGACAGTGAATTTTTTCTATTCTATACCGACATACAACATTATTTTGAAATTCATTTCATTATTAATCTCATCAAGAGATATCAAAATCATACCCATCACAGCAATAGAGAAATTGTTTATTAAACCTTTATTAACTAAATATTAGATAGAGAGGTTCCGAAAAGTAGTGAACTAAAACAATATAAATTATTTTTATATTATTTTAACTAATTGAATTTTTGGATGACCACACAGCTGTTTCGAGTATTGCCAAATACCCATCATCAGTGGTCTTGAAATTATTAAATTATTAATATTTATTATTAACTATTAAATTCAATAAATAAATTGATAATATATTTGCATTTTCTTAATTATTTAATTTCAGTATCGAACTATATGACCACATATCGTTGTTGTAACGCTTGTACAAGCTATAGGCCAAGTTGTCATCACAATGAGTATTCAATGAAATCATCAGAGGAATATTTAGATAATAATTATTATTATGATTATGATAATTATTATTATTAACAAATTTTCAAAATCAAATAATTAACATAAGTTATAAGAATCAAAATAATAAAACATAATTACAATATAGATCATTCATATTTGTAAATATTTAGTCCAAATTATAGAAATTTCCAAAATGCAAAAAACAATCTTTAAGACTTTGTTGACACTGACAAAAATCAGGAAATGGTGGTGCCAAAACTTCATACATTATTTTTAATAAATCGATATATTTATTTAAAGCCTTTGAATATTCACCAGTATCATAAAGACGTTTTGCGGTACGTGTCATCATTTCAGTATCCTAAAAATATTTCATACATTATAATATTATCATTATAATACATATTAAATAATATATATTATTTTCTCACCTGCATAACCTTAAGGCCTTTGAATATATTTGTACATTCACCACAAGTAACGCACTTAACCATAAAATCATTACATGTTGCTGGGACCTCAATAATTGAGGTGCATGTATTAGGTGCATCGCAACGGAAACGTATAACATCAGTGGGCAAGTTTTCAAAAGTTGGCCAGTTCTCTAAGCAAGCATCACAACTACAATCGAAACAATATAGATCTTTAAGTTTAGATTGTCGTTCTTCACGCGATTCTTGTGTATACATAGGACCATAATTTTCTGATATGGGCAGACCAGCTTCAATTGGACGAATTGTATTGACGTGTATTGTGTTGCCACGGAAAAATCTAAATTTGATTATAAATATGATTTCGTTAATAATATTATTTTACATTCTTATTAAGTTTGTCACCTCACAATACCAGGATCACAAGAATGATTGAAAAGTGCTAAATTTGGATATAGTGCACCACCAATAAATATAGTCTTCTCATTGCCATCTGATTGGTATTTGTGGAGTTCTGCCACTTCGTGTGTATTGTATTGTAGGAGCTGAAGCGTATAAAGCAAAAGTCCACTTATATCCAATATATTACGTTGACTAGCTTTCTCACCAAAGTAACCACTTTCTTGTAGACATTTGGTAAGGAAACGTGCCATCAATGCATGTTGAAAGAAATTCGATGATGTACGAGTATCTTCATGACGAACTAAATGTGATATGCGATGAAAATCGTCTTTAGGAAGTCTGAAAAACAAATAAAGTAAGTAATAATTTTATAATTTTTTTTTTACTTCCTTACTTTTGAATTTCCTGTATCGTAAACTGCTTGTTAACGTCATCCTTTATTTTAAGAAAATAATCCACAGACTTACTAGCAAAAATACGTAATGCCATATGACAGTTAATGGATGCACCAGAACGCCATATTAAAGGTAAAATTCCACACTCATATTTATGATATGTTTTTGAAGCATGAGTCTGACACTCCTCTGAGCAATATATAACATCAGCACATTTAGAGCAAGCAACGGGTATAGCAGTACTATTTTAAAAGAAAATAAATTGAAATATGTTGTCAATATATTGTCAAATCTTTTATTTACCGTGAAAAACAGTTTTCACAATGCGTTTTTGCATATTTCTCTAGAAGCACCGCTACGAATGGTTTCTCTACAAGAATTTCTTCCCCCACTTTTATATCCGCATTAGCACGTGCAAAACGGCCTTCTTCTCTATTCTGATCAAAGCGAACTGTGGAACTAATAAACTCTTTCTCTGCTGGTAAAGCTAAAGAAAGTTTGACTTCACCCATTTTCTTTTGTTTCTCAGCTTGTTTAGCAGTGCGATTATCTCTTTCTAACATTTTAATCATGGTCATAGCATCCAAATTCATTTTTCCACGCTTGTCACTTGGTAGATTGGAATCATCTATCGCCGTTATGCATTTCCTTAAAAAAGAAACAGTGCGCAAATGAAACATTATATATTATATTTGCTTGTACATTATGCACTTACTTGAAAGCAGCAATCGTACAGGGATAGTTCATTTTAGCCATATAACAACGTGCTTGTCGTTCGTATAATTTATAAAGCAAATCTTTTGGATAGCCTAGTTCCATTGATCTCTTTATATCAATCAGGCTCTCATCATATTTCTTCATGTGGTACAATGTTGCCGAACGATTGGCCAATGCTATTGCTTTATCAACCGCTACAGTTTCAAATCAATAGATATAATGATAAGATATATATTATATGTAGCTGTACCTATATATAACAAATATGTATGAGTATTACCTTTCTCCTGTGGCACCGCAACATAGCTTTTGGTATACAACATCATAGCTTCCAACCATTTTTTAGCTTTAAAAGCTGAATTCCCTTTTTCTTTTAGATCAGCTGCAATAGCACTATCTTTTCCATTATATTCACGTCGTACTCGTAGATCATCATCACGTTCTTTCACAAATGTCAATTGATCAACAAAAGCCATGCGCTCGACATCATTGTGACATTCCGCAATCTTTTCAATTTCTTTATCAAAACTTGATAAATTTGAGTTCTTTAGGTTGAGATAATAATCGGGGAAGAATCCAGATTTTTCAGTTAAACCCATTTTTAGTTTATTTTATATAAATAAAAAACTTTTAATTGTAATTAATTATTTTTCAATATATGAAAACTTTATTTTTAGAACGTTTCGTGTAGAAAACTGCAACAGAACTGAAGGAAAATGTTTTAATTTTCTTCTGATGTGGTGTGTATATTTTTTTAAATTTATTTTTAGAACTTCTAAGAGAAATGAGAGGTAAGAATTTATAGATCTCTTAAGTTTTTACCGGCGAATGTAGTTTGTTTATTTCAATTGTTTACAAACAAATTGTAATGTAATAATAAAAATATATATGAAACACATGTAATAATGTTGCAATTTGAATTTATTTTATAAAAATAATTAAAAAAATTAAAATAGAACCAAACAGTTGTATCTTAAAGATATATTAAAGATAATTACAGACATATTTCAACTACAATCTGGGTGAAGCAACATGATTTTTTAATTTAGGTGTTTAAGAGAATGCATCTGTAAATACTTAATTGGTAACAAAAGACTTACTAAAGCAACCTATGCTTTTGTGTAGTTTTACAGGTAAATGGAGAATTCCTATATCACCTACGGAACTTCTGTGACTTAGTCCATAATTCTAACTACCCCAATCGTTTACGCGCATCTGGATCTACGACATCAAAGCCAATATATCCTTTTGACCATCAAAGCTAATATGTCATCCTGACCGAAAGAAATAGTTCAGTAATATTTTTTTGCTTAAGAAATATTTTTTTTGATCTTTAGTTATACTTCAAAAATGACAATGTATAAAAAAATGTTCCAAAAATTAAAACGTTTTCTTGTAGCAATGGACTTAATTATATATTATTTTTAATCATATTATTATAAAAAATTCGATTGATTTTCAAAAAGTAGTTTTTGGCAAATCCCTTTTTTATTGTCAAAAATTTAAAAATTCTGTTGAATCAAGAAAAAATTATCCGATATGTATTGAAAAAATAGATTGACAAGATCCCGACAATTTTAATATTAAAGATGCACCACATTCTAAAAGGCCGTTAATTACGGCAAGCCGTTGAATAGTAACTCTTGAGATCACTGAAATAAAAAAATTTATCGAATTCGACCAGTTCATTATCATTTGGAACCTCTATATTTCATCTCAAAATTAGAGTTCTACATTGGGTTCTACATTTCTACGGAAATCAATTCTTGCTATTGTGATGATGCACTAAATGGATTCCCAATAATTATATAAAGTAAAAAAGGTGAACTATTGAAACCACTTTAAAGGTCAATATGCTTTCATAATATCTTCGTAATGTGTTTTCCATGAAACTTTTTTTTGAGATTATACTGATTAACACAAGGATCAATTCTAAAGTAAACTTTTATCAAATAGATACTTATAAAAATATATACTAGAATAAATACTCTGAACAGTGTGATCAGAATTTATCAATAGAAAAGGTGTAGTGTTCCACCAAGATAATGCCAAGTTTCCACCACAGAAATTTGGAAACTCACCTAAATCTTTTATGGCTTGAATGGGTTATACTGCCACATCCACCATATTCTCCAAATCTAGCAGCTTTTGATTAAATATTTCGGTCCTTACAAATTTTATAGATCATCACCTGAATCTGGTTTTTGCATTGAATTATATTAATGGCAAAATATATGATATTTTAACTTAATGGAAAATCATAATTCCAAATATACCACATTTCTTACTATAAGAATGTAACTTTCAATTTCATAAAATATAAACGATATTTTGTTTTCGAACAATTTTATAAAAGCATGGTTTAAACAATTAAAAATTAATTGTTTTTAACAAATTATTAATTATACTATAAATTTCTAACTGAAAAAAATTGCAGTTAAAGATTTCCAAAATCCTCTTTCTGACTATTAATTAGTTTACAAGTTCAAACCTCAATTTAACCAATAATATTATTAATAAATCTTTAAAGTCGAAGATATAAAGTTTGAGCTAGAATGGTATATATACACAGATATATAGTTACACCAACCTTAGATATTAAAAAAATTGTACCAATTCCATTATGCCTCCTGTGAGGATTGAACTCACGACCCCTGGTTTACAAGACCAGTGCTCTGCCACTGAGCTAAAGAGGCGCTTTGATGCCTCTTTTACGCCAAGCATTAAGTTTTGATAAAATTTTAGAACAAACTCAAGAAAAGATAAAAAGTTGTTTTAAAAAAGAAAAAAAGTTTAAATATTTGTTTTTAAGTATTTTTTGTTTAACATACTAAACAAATATTTTGATAAGTGACTAAAAACAATAACGTTTTGTTGTGTTTTCCTATATTTAAAATTTTTTTAGATTTAAATTCAGACCCATGAGTCAACATTTTTAAGTTTAAGCACTATATATTCCATTAAAAAAATAATTATATTAATGATTTCTTTTAATAAAATGACTTTATTGTGTGTTTTTAATAGTAAAGAAACATAAGAATATCTAAAATATACATATCCTGATAATAATATATAATATATTTGTGCGTATATGTTTTTCTGGAAATATAACCCAAGCTGATAAATACATTATTAATACTATTTTCTGATATGTATCTAAACTACTATTATATATATATGTATAAACTCATATATTTAGATCTTATACGGTGGAGTAGTTAAGTGAGAAACCTTTCAACTGCTGATATCTTCTAAGACCTCTTTCCTCTTAGTTTTTCTTTAAGATTTTGGTTGTTTGCGATTCTCTGTTAATTTTTCCCGAAATATTTGTTTTAATTCCTCTGCACCTGTACGATTTATTTCATCATAGTAGGGCAACTCAGCTAAACGCTTCATCCAAGCTAAAACTTTTGGAAATTTATATTCATCAATTGGAGCTACATCATCAACA